CAAGCCCCTCCCCCCCACATCTGGGGCATGCAGGGGATGTGGTGGGGTATGGAGCAGCCCCAAGCAGCCCTTTGCAGTCTTGAACTCTGACAACCTGCAAGGGAAAAAGCTACCATGTCCCACATTTTCCCCTTTAAAAGAGAATCCATTTTTAAAGGTTGTTGATCCATTTTTTAAAAGTTTGCTTGTGACCCTTTCACAAATTCTTGCAACCCATGGATTGGGAAGGGAAACATTGCTTTACAGGGACTATTATATTCTGTCACTGTGATCAATCCACTCCAGCTCTCTACAACAACAGAAATCTCTACAACAAAGGGATCAGAGCTCTACAACAGATTCAGCCCTGTTGAGGTATATGACCCAGCTTGTGGGTCACTGGACCAGCCCTGGCTCCTGCACTGCATAAGGCAGTGCAGGCAATGCAAGGTGCAACATACAACTTGTGCTTGGATCCTGCTAAAACCTTGTTCCACAGGGTCTAGCCCATGCACCATAGGAAGCATGCAATCACATGCCAGCCCGATGGCTAGGTGCACAGGGAGCACCGTGATCCAGCCCCAGTCCAGCTCAGACCCACACATGCTGCATGCAGCATGAGGGGCACATGCTCCATGCAGTGCCTCACTGGACCCCTGTGCTACCTGCAGTGTTGGGCTCAGCTCACACGCTACAGACCATGTCTGCCCCATGCTAGCCCTGGGGACTGGGACATGCTGCGCTTGAATACTACCTGGCCCCACATACCAGCTCAGAAATGCTCATCCAGCCCTGTGAGCTGGATGAGTTTTACACCACTGGGATAGGCTCTTTTTGGCACAGACAAGCTTTTTCTGAATTCCTGCAAGTAGCAAGGAAAAGTACAAATCTCATGGGGCATGCCAAGGAAAAGTCACCCTTCTTCCACCTTGCCATGTCTAATATATGCAACACAACAATGCATATTATATACTTCCATAATGCCTTTGTTACAAATACAGCCTCCTTCTACACATTACAACTATTATACAATTAGCTGGTTAATGGTGCAGTTGCCTTCAGACCAGCTAGAAGTGCAAAGTACTTATCTCACCATAAGAAGCTCCTTCCTTTCCTTTTTCAGGTCCTTGTGACAAAGTATTTAGCAGATTCATCGGAACCTGATAGGCTGAGCAGCCAGCACTTCAGCTGCAGCCTCAAACTTTATAACTGGTTGCTATCAAGCTTTATTTTGCATGTGTTGCAGGGCCTCCCCTCTGGCTGGGAGCTGCACCAGCAGCTACAACTCCCAATGCAAGGGGTGCACCATGTGCAACTGGGGCTCAAAGTCCAACAACTAAGGGGACCTGGGCCCCAGCAGCTGCCGACTCTTGGGACTGGCAGCACCCTGCAGCTGCGGATGCTGGGTTTCAGCAGCGTGCCCACCCAGTGCCAGGACCCAAAGGGGTCCCAGCAGCCACAAGGCCTGGCTGCAGGCCAGGGATGCATGGAGCCCTTAGGGCTGGAATACGACAGCAGCTGCAATGTCCTAGCTGCGAGGATGCATGAAAGCCCTGCAGCTGCGATCTCTCAGCCTGGAGCTTTCATGTACATCATGGCAGCCACATCTCCCAGTGAGGGGCTACCTGGGGTGCCCCTGCTACTCGAAGTCTCTCAACTGAGGTGGGACTCCCAGCCAAAGAAGTTTGCCTAAATAAGGTGCCAGGGGATCTAATGCACAATCCCAGTCACACCTCCTACCACACACATGTTTTATGGCAGGAGGTGCAGTTGTGTGCATCACCCATTGCACCTTTACCTGCATGTGTAGAGGGGCCCCATCTATACACACACATATCTATACACCATATGCATGTAAGCATACATGCTATCTATGTGTCTGGCAGCCTACACTTCCTCACATGTGCACATGCACACCCAAAACACAACCAGAACAAAGCACACTACTGCATATATAACTGTCCTGAGAAGATGATCCATCAAATCGTAAACGTTAGTCAAGTTGCTCACTGGTTGCTTACAAAGCACTCTCATTCCAATACAGACTGTGGGATTGGGACTCATATGAAATACAATGAAACGGGAAGGGAGAGCAGCATTGGGACAGAGGGCTCAGAAGGGGAAGACTGCAGACAAAAGCAGATCAAGTTGCAAACTAGTACAAACTGTTAGAGGGGACCAGCAGGCATTGGGGGAGTCCCTGTTCCCCCGAGCACTACCAGGAGTGACTAGAAATAACAGTCACAAGCTGGCAGAGGGTAGATTCAGACTAGACATCAGGAGGCACTACTTCACTGTCAGGGCGGCTAGGACCTGGAACCAACTTCCAAGCAAAGTGGTGCTGGCTCCTACCCTGGGGGTCTTTAAGAGGAGGTTAAACGAACATCTTGCCGGAGTTGTTTGACACCAGTACTTTTCACTGCCATGGCAGGGGGTCGGACGTGATGATCTGCTCAGGTCCCTTCTGACCCTATCAACTATGAAACTATGAAAGTTGAGCTGAATCAGGCACCTAGCGGGAGCAGGAGAAAGGGACCAAAAGATGAAAGGTCGTCTCTCCAATCCCCGTCACAGAAGTGCAACCGAGTACTGTCGAATCCAAAATACCGCTCGAGTCTCTAGCTCCCACTCGGGCAGTCCCCACTCAGCGCTACAGGGGGAGCCGGCGAGCCATGCGCAGGTCTCGCAGCCACCTCCCGTTGGTTACACACACGTCCAGCACAGCGCGCACAGGCTCGCTGTCCCCTCCACGCGCGCCTCCCCCGGAGCCGGCCTGGCAGGAGGAGCAGGAGCGGCTCCAAGAGGCCCCAGCCCTTGAGGGCACAGCCGGTCTGTCACACACCGGCCTCGGCCCAGCCCGCGCCTGGAGAGACGAGCACGTCGGCGGGGAAGGGGCTCCTTCCC